GCAGGCGCCCGGGCTGCAGGGCTGGGAGGCGTCCTCAGGCTTCTGCGGGAGGAGAAGGCAGAGGAAGAACACACCCCCATCCCCACTCCCTATTCCCCACCCCCACCCTGACCGGGGGCGCCGCCTGGAGCCGCGCGACTGGTCAGAAGTTAGTTGGTGTGAACTCTTGCCGGCGGGCCAGGGTGGACCAAGTGGTAACTTAGATCCGTGCAAAGAAGCCCGAGAGGTGATGACTTCGAGGTGAGCGCAGGCCCGGGTCACCCCATGGGAGTCACTGGCCCCAAGCTCAGGTCCTCCCAGGCTCCAGGCCTCCAGGCTGGGGTCCTCCCCGCCGGCCTGGGGTGGTGGCTGCTGTGCAGAGCCCAGGAGGCGGCCGCAGTAGAGGTGGGGGGGAGCAGGGTGTCTGTGGGCTCCCTACCCTCCTTGCCACCTGGGACCTGGGGTTCTGTGCCCAGATGGGCACCCCTGGGGATGCTGTGCGGGGTCCTCTGACCGCAGCGTGAGGTGCCGGCCCTTCCGCCTGTCCCCACGCTCCCCTCCCCTGGCTTTGGTCCCCTCCTGGGTTCCCCCCTGAGCCCCGGAACCCCTTGCACTTGCGTGCAGGCCTCCTCACCCTGGCCGTCTGCCCGGTGTTCCTTCAGCCTTTGTGCTGGGAGTGGAGTGGGGTAGAGCGAGTTCTCGAGACAGTGCCTCTCGCTGGAATTTCCGTCTGAAAGGGAGCAGCGCTTCAAAGCAGGCGCAGTCACAGCAAAACGCAGGCCCCGCTCTAGTCGGGGAGGGAGGGGGCTCATTCACAGGTTGGTCCCCAGCCCCCAGGACTACTCGTCCCTTCGCCCTGAGGCCCGGCCTAACCCCAGGGGCTCACTGCCCATGGTCTGTCGCTGTTTGAGGTCCTGTCGGCCAGGGAGGTGGAACTTCGTTCTGGTTCCAAACGTGTAGGATTCGGGCCGCTTGTGTGTGTTCCTCGTGGAGCGTGGCAAGGGGAGGCGGGGCTTTATGCCGACAGCAAGGGGCCAAGTCCCTGGCGAGGGGACATGACCTCGCCTGCGCGCCAGGCTGCCTCTAGCTTCTCCCACTTCCCCATCCACCGGGGTCTGTCCTGGCGCCCGCTCCTCCCCGCGGCGCTTTTGCTCCATGACTGGGGGCTGTTGGCACTCGGCGCTCAGTCCCTGCCTGGCCCTCGGGTTCCAGGGCTCAGTGCTGGGCACACTGGCAGGCAGGGAGCTCCTGCCCAGAGGGGGTCGAAATGAGGAGCCCCCTGCAGCCCAGGAGCCCCCCTTCCTCCCTCGTGAGTCTTTCTTAAGCGACCCGTCTGGCTTCGCCTGGGCCAGGGCGGGCCTGGGAGTGGCTGTGGGATGACTGCTGGGCCGAGGTCCATGTGGTGAGGGACGGTGGTGCTTAGCGTAGGAGGAGGCGGACGACTTCCCTGCCCGGCTCCTCTCCAGCCTCGGCATCGTGAGGATCCTGAGACCTGGGTCCTCCCTCCCGTAATTGCCAGCTTTCCAGAAACAGTGGGTGTCGCTCAGCTTTTATCCCCACCCAGCACCTCTGGTGCGCGACTAGCAGATCTGGGGCCTGGCAGATGGTGGAGGTGAAAATGCTGGTGTGCGTCTGTGGCTCTGCCCCGAAGGAGCACCGAGTTCATGAGACCTT